TTTTAGGGTTTGACTAGTCGGGCTGTCAGTGGGATGTTGGTCAGAAAAGTCAATTTAGTCTTTCGCTTCTCAAACCTGTCCTCCCCTTAACCAATTCATATAATGTATTCCACCACCAGCACACCTGATTCACTAATCAGAGGTTTTGATGATTAGTTGACCAGTGGCACAAAGTGGGCTCAATCTAGGTCAACTATGTGGAGTGTCTCCAGGGACAGTACAGTACAGACTGAGAACAACAGTGGAGTTTACTCAACTCATTCAAACTATCATGACTATTGCTTAGAGAGAAGATCTGCACAAGCGCATCATAAAGTGTAAGATATTGCAAGAGAGGACAATATGGTGGAAGGTAGCCAAAGTGGAATCAAAAGTCATAGGCCTAATCATCAATCAGATGTGAAATATAAAACAAAAATCTACACATAAAGGCAAAATGGCATCTACATGTGTTATAGAATAGCTCCCTTCTTACATTCCACGTCATGCTTGGACTGGAACGTGCCAACTCAACGGTCTATGCGCAGCTACCCAATAGCCTACAGACAGACTTTCCTGAGTGCCATGTCATTAATGGGACAGATATGTACGGTATAATAAGAACAGGGAAGAGGAATAGAACCAACCTTTGACGCACAGCAGAGACATCGCTGCTGAGATTTTACCATGGAGCAAGAGTCCCCCTAGAATTTAAAAACAGTCATTCCGTTTCAATGAATGTACTCCCCAAACGCGTGTCGCGTCGCAAACTATCCTTTCAGCGGATGGATGATGCGCCGCTGCCATTCACTTCGATGAGGAGTTGGACGAACGCTCCTCCAGCTCACGATATGCAACGATGGCGCACCACAATCAACAGGCAACCATCAGGAGGTTACGAATGACTGTCACAGGGACAAACCAATAAGAGTTTATAATTAATTGGAATAGGCGGGTCTTGAGGTAACGGTGGCCAATTGAAAACTTATCAAATGGATTCTGGTGCCCCAGGGAACATAAAAAAAAAAAAAAAAAAAAAATATATATATATATATATATATATATATATATATATATATATATATATAAAAACATTTTCTTTTGTGGTACTTTTACCCCTTTTTCTCCCCAATTTCGTGATATCCAACTGGTAGTTCCAGTCCTGTCCCATCGCTGCTATTCCAGGTGTAGTCCAGCAGTTAGTGATGGTGACGCACGGAACAGTTCGCACTGGACAGGTGCACGAGAGATTGTATGTTTGTTTGTACTGTTATGGCTGTTATGTTATTATGTTGTGTACTCACTAAACACACACATATGGATTTGTGTGGGAAATGTTTGTACGCTGTGGTTGCTGTTTTGTATTTCATTGAACGTTAGGTCCATACAAAGAGAAATCACAGAACATAGGCTACTAATATAACCTTAGGCAAAAATAGACGAAATAAAAGTAAAGTGAAAATAGTTAATAATGTCTTTATCAATTATGAGTAGCTAAACAATATCGACGTTTGGACACATGCGCAGGAGAACCCCTAGCTGTCAATCAAGCAGGCGCGGATAAACATTATGACGCTCAAGTGTTTCAAATGACGCAACAATACAGCTCCAGGCCAGGTAAAGTTTCTTCCTGTCAAAGATATTATTCAGTTCCACACTAAAACTGCGATTTGACAAGAGTGATTTGAGGTGAGTCAAATATTTAGCGAAGTTTACAATACATTAACCATCCTAGCCTACTTCACTTAGTTGACAACTCAACCAAATGTAATTCAAAACTAGATGTTAAACCGACATCTCTGCCCAATGGGATATCACAGTTCAATGTCAAACAGATTGATGCAACACTACTCTTTACATTGGATTGGAAAAGGTTCATATTCTTACTGATTGAATGGCAATCTCAGTCTTTTAAGAGGCCATCTGCAATTGCTACATCTATTTTGAACTTTATAATTAATGATATATACCCATTGACTCTCCTAAATGTCTCATGAGCTTAGATCAACTATCTAATCCCATCAGAACCCAAAATATGAGTTTGTTTCACTCCAATGATTGGAAACAATGTAATTATAAACAAACACTGTATAGCTTAAACAATATGGTTAAAACGATCATTTTGATCTCATGGATGGTTAGTCCTTGCACAAATAGCTACGTCTATGAATTACTCCAGCCCCCATCCCCAAGCTGTTTATCCAAAAAGGTGACGGTGTGGCAGCTTTGTGGTTTGAACTACTGCTTGCTCCTTTAACATGTTGAGCTGTGATCTCCATTCACTTTGTGTTATTTTGTGACAGAGAAAGTAGGCCGTGCTCTAAGGGGGGAACTTTTAATTTCTCTGAGGAGATGGAAACGTCTTCTTCTTCTGGACGATCTCCGTCTCCTGAAGGGATTGTCTTCTTACCCCCTCCTATCATGTGGAACAGTCTGTAAGTCATTCGTCACATAACCTAGCTCTGGTCCAGGGCATTACGCACGGCTTGATGAAGGAAGGCTCAGTGTCAGCAAGCCGTACGTAACGCCCTGGACCAGAGCCACACATTACCCACCTCTGGCCATCATGGACAGTCAACTCATCACATTCACGTACTGTAAGTCACAGTTGTGTGAGTTGTGTGATTAAAGGCAGTGTAATTGAGCAGAAGTTGTATTATTATTTAAATATTGTAATAAATTGTCAGAGTTCACTTTCTAAATAATGTGTTGACATTCCTTTGCTCCCAGCTACAAGCAGGCAGATATGGAGGTTCAGTTCCTGAGAGAAGAGAAGAAGTGCTGTACAGAGAAGGAAGCCCACATGCTTGAGGTGATAGGGAAGGATCGAACGATCCGAAATCAGAAGAAGGAGATGGACAGACTTCAAGTGTGCCTCTGGGAGGAGAAGAAGAAGAAGAGGAATGGTGGAATGGAGAAGAACGAGATGGTTGAAAAATTACAGTCTGAGACAAACAATCTCAGAGCCCTTTTAAAGGATGAAAGGAGCAGAAGAAGAGTAGAAAGGGGTGTAATGAAAGAGTGGAAGGCTGAGATCCTGAGACTGAGGGAGGCAGAGAGACAGAGACTGAGGGAGGAAGAGAGACTGAGGGAGGCAGAGATACAGAGGGAGGCAGAGAGACAGAGACAGAGTGAGGCAGAGATACAGAGACCGAGGGAAGCAGAGAGACAGAGGGAGGCAGAGAGACAGAGACAGAGGGAGGCAGAGAGACAGAGACAGAGGGAGGCAGAGAGACAGAGGGAGGCAGAGAGACAGAGGGAGGCAGAGAGCCAGAGGGAGGCAGAGAGCCAGAGGGAGGCAGAGAGACAGAGGGAGGCAGAGAGACAGAGGGAGGCAGAGAGCCAGAGGGAGGCAGAGAGCCAGAGGGAGGCAGAGAGACAGAGGGAGGCAGAGAGACAGAGGGAGGCAGAGAGACAGAGGGAGGCAGAGAGACAGAGGGAGGCAGAGAGACAGAGAAAAATGGAGGAGATCAACAGACTCAAACAACTGGTGGATCTGCTGATAACGAAACTACAACTGGCCCAGGTAAGATATGACATTGTTATTATTAAAAGGCAGTGTATATTTACCCGGCTGAAAATGAATGGCGGTGGATAGCGGTATGCTAACCCAATGTTAACTTTTATGCCTTTCTCTCACCTTAACCCTTACCTTAACCTCACTGAAACTATACATAACCTTAACCCAACCCTAGGTCCTGAACCTAACCATTACCCTAACCTTAAACCAACCCTAGGTCCTGAACCTAACCATTACCCTAACCTTAACCTTAACCCAACCCTAGGTCCTGAACCTAACCATTACCCTAACCCTAACCTTAACCTTAACCCAACCCTAGGTCCTGAACCTAACCATTACCCTAACCTTAACCTTAACCCAACCCTAGGTCCTGAACCTAACCATTACCCTAACCTTAACCTTAACCCAACCCTAGGTCCTGAACCTAACCATTACCCTAACCTTAACCCAACCCTAGGTCCTGAACCTAACCATTACCCTAACCTTAACCTTAACCCATCCCTAGGTCCTGAACCTACCCTAACCTTCATTTATCTCAACCCCTATGCCTTTCTTCTGCCTGTCGAATATCCACTTCCTTATTAATATCATTACTGTTGTTGTTGTTGTTGTTGATGATAACTGTATGTGTGCAGGTTGTAAATAATTACATCATTGAAACATCATATGTAGGAGTAATTTCTACAAGCATAAACATCAAAGGCAACATTGTTGTAACATCACACAAATTGTAACGGGTATTTCTCAAACCCCTAACTGAATGGGAAAACTAGTTGTGTGTTTGTATTTGTACAGATTTTGGACATAATTGTTTCCATAAAATGTCTCATGATTTTTTCAAACCATGTCAATACATTCATTGACAATGAATTGACCAGATTAATTGGTCAAAATGACCCTGCTATTGATGTTGTCCAGTGTTTGATTCAATTACCTAGCTCTAGGTTGTGTTTCTATGTATCATTCACTGCAAATCCTTTGAAAGTATGTCTTGGTCATAAATGAGCACTAATTGAACATTTTAAAAATGAAGCAAGAGATAGCGATATTGAGGCTATGGCAGAAAGTCATGGAGGATCACCGACCAAGACTGGCCTGGAACAACAAACCTATTGAGACGGAAAGACAGAGTGAAAGACAGAGGGAAAGGGAGGGAAAAACAGAATTGGAGAGACAAGAAATGAAGGAGAAAGTGAAACAGGCAGAGGAAACAATAAAAGCGTTAGAACGAGAGATTGAGAGATTGAAAGAGATTGAACAGGAAATAGCATTTGAAAGAAAAAGAGTAATGCATATTGCAGAGAATGAGGAAGTCAAACTGGTTAACAAAAAGGTAAAAGAGTTAGAGAGAGAGGTTGAGAGATTGAAAGAAGACATGACAACAAAAGAGATTCAATACAAAATAAAATTTCAAAGAGCGAAAGAAGCGTTTAGAAGACAGAATGAAAGAGTGAAACAGGTTAACAAAAATGTACTAGTGTTAGACAGAGAGGTTGCGAGAATGAAAGAAGAGATTAGATTGAAAGATGAGACTGGACCAGAGAGAAAGAGAGAGAGATGGAGAGAGGGATGGGGAGAGAGAGATGGAGATGGAGAGAGAGATAGAGATGGAGAGAGAGATGGGGAGAGAGAGATGGAGAGAGAGATAGAGATGGAGAGAGAGATAGAGAGAGAGACAGCCCTCATCAATGTCAACAAGACATCTGAACTGGAGGAAATCTTCAAGAATATCAAGGAACAGCTGACAGAATTAGAAAATATGGAAACAGACGAGTATACATGGAAACAGAACCAAATGGCCATGGAGGAGAAGACAGAGGGTGAGAATGACACACAGAAAGAGGTAGAAAGAACGAGAAAAGAGAAAATACCAAAACAGGGACAACAAGAAGAGGAGAAGAAGAAGGAGATGGAGGGAGGAGAAGAAGAGGAGAGACACAAACAGAAGCAAATAGAGATGGAAGAGGAAGAAAGAGAGAGGGAGAACAAGAGATGCAAGGAGATAGAAAGGAAGAGTATGGAGAAGAGACAGAAAAAAATAGAAGAAGAAGAAGAGAGACAGAGAGAGATTGAAAGAAAGAGAATGGAGAAGAGACAGAAAAAAATAGAAGAAGAAGAAGAGAGACAGAGAGAGATTGAAAGAAAGCATGAAGAAGAAAGATTTAAACAGAAAATAGAGATGGAAGAGGAAGAAAGGGAGAGGGAGAACAAAATATGCAAGGAGATAGAAAGGAAGAGTATGGAGAAGAGACAGAAAAAAATAGAAGAAGAAGAAGAGAGACAGAGAGAGATTGAGAGAAAGAGAATGGAGAAGAGACAGAAAAAAATAGAAGAAGAAGAAGAGAGACAGAGAGAGATTGAAAGAAAGCATGAAGAAGAAAGATGTAAACAGCCAATAGAGATGGAAGAGGAAGAAAGGGAGAGGGAGAACAAGAGACAGAGAGAGAGAGAAGAGATAGACAGACGACAACAACAAGAGGAGAGACAGAAACAAATGGAGAAAGAGACTCAGAATCAGAGAGAGATGGAATTAAAAGATCAGCAACACAAAGAGATGGAGGAAGAAAATATTGAGGGACAGAATGAACTGGAGAGAGAGAGGGAAGAAAAGCAGAAAGTGATTAAGGAAGCAGAGGAGGAGGAAAGAGAAAGAGAAGAAGAGAGAAGAAAGGAAGTAAGAATGAAGAAGCATGTAGTAGTTAATGTTAAAGCAAAAGCACGGGAAGTCTTCAACAGGCGTAAACAGAGGAGGTTAGAAGTGTTGAAGGGGGAACGAGAACAGATGGAAAGAGGACAACAAATCAGGAGGGAGAAGGAGGAAAGACTGCTGGAGATGGAAAGAAAACAGGAGAGGGCAAGACGACAAGAGGAGCAGGATAAAAAACGAGAGATTGAATTTGCTAGACAGAAAGAAACGTTCAGACTAAGAGAGGAGGAGAGGCAGAGAGAGGAGGAGAGAGAGGAGGAAAGAGAGGAGGAGAGAAAGAGAGCCATTGAAGGCCATTTAGCTTCGATCAGAGAGAGGGAGAAGATGATAGAGGCTAACAAAAGGGAGGAGATGGTGGAAGAGGAAATAAGGGAGATCCTTGAGAAGTACAATAGGGGTGAGTTAGAGAACACTGAAGAGGAGGAGGAGAACCCTGAAGAGGAGGAGGAGAACCCTGAAGAGGAGGAGAGAAAGAGAGCCATTGAAGGCCATTTAGATTTAATCTGAGAACCCGATAAAAGTATCCGAAGGAGAGCTGTGGGCTGGGTGAATAAGAAGTGGGAGATGAGGAACCTCAAAAAGATAGAGAGAACATATCAGAGAGAGAAGGAGGAGGGCCATAAGATCATCCACATTGGTAAGACCTGTTGTCTCTTCTACACACACATAAGTTCCACACCAGTCATCATGTTGCATCATTGTTTCAATATAAAACTACTGACCCAAAATGGACAAGTTGATCTGGTATCAACTTAAATGTAATGTACACAGGGAATGTAGAATTGAAAACCCAACTGGATCTCAATGACCCTGGTAAAAAGTAGTGCACCATAGCCTTTTGGGGGCCCTAAGCAACATTTTGTTTAGGTTTTTGAGTACATTTCCTCCAAATATACGCATTGCAATGGGAAGAGAAAATATTGCAGTTTTTAAACAAGTTTGCTGCAATTCTACCATGGGGTGGAGAGAAGATTTTACAATTATAGAAAACATTTCATGCAATTTTACACATTTTGCCATGGGGTGGAGAGAAGATTTTGCAGTTTTAAAGATAATTTCCTGCAGTTCTAAACATTTTGCCATGGGGTTGAGTGAAAACTGCAGTTTGAAATCTAATTTCCTTAAATTCTACACATTTTGCCATGGGGTTGAAAGAAAATGTTGCAGTTTTAAAGCTAATTACTGGTAGTTCTGCACATTTTGCCATGGGATGGAGATAAATGTTTGCAGTTTTTAAGCTAATTTCCTGCAATTCTACACAGTTTGCCATGACTAATGCCATGTTAAGATGATATCTGAATGAGAGTGATTAACAATATAAATGGTGGCTCACTGCAGGTCAAGGCCCCTGGGCACGTGCCCTTCGTGCCTGGTCCATCATTCGATCATGATTACTGCAAGTTTAGATAGCTGGCTAGACTAATTTACCAATCTAAAATATGTTAGCTAACATGGCTAATTGAGTGACTGACTGACATACAAGAAAAATACTGCTGATTTAACAACCAGGAATTATTGCACTTTATTGACAAATACCATGCCTTGCTCAATTGAAAAGAGTATAGAATCATTGAGATCCAATTGGGGGTTCTGTTCTTAATTCCCTGTGTCCACCCCATCCTTTTTACGCTGCTGCTACTCTGTTAATTATGTATGCATAGTCACTTTAACTCTACCCACATGTACATATTACCTCAACTACCTCAACTAGCCGGTGCCCCCGCACATTGACTCTGCAACGGTACCCCCCTGTATATAGCCTCCCTACTGTTATTTTATTTTACTTCTGCTCTTTTTTTCTCAATACTTTTTTTGTTGTTGTTTTATTTTTAAAAATAAATGCACTGTTGGTTAAGGGCTGTAAGTAAGCATTTCACTGTAATGTCTGCACCTGTTGTATTCGGTGCATGTGACCAATACAATTTGATTTGATTTGATTTGATACCTGATCCCCTAAGTTGAATGTGAACTCTGCTTCTTCTCCCCTCCCAGTCATCCCTGGACACACAGTGCTAACAACCCACATCACCAGGGCCGAGAGAGAGAGGGAGAAGAGGAAGGAGCTCCTGAAGGATGAGGAGATAAGGAAGAAGCTGGAGGATTATAATAAGCAGTGGAGAGCGCAGTCCCTGCTTAGAAAACAACATCAACGTAAAGAGGAGAGGGAGAGGATGAAGGAACAGTCCCTAAATGAAAAGCAGGAGAAATGGCTGGAGCAGATGAATCTGGAGGCTGATGCTCAAATCAAGAAGTGCAGCACCCAGTACATCACCCGCTGTCCAACCAAGAGCTTAAGCCAAGAGCCCGTTGGATCTGGAGATGGCCAGCAGGAGAGGCCAAGGAGGCCACAGGCATGGGCAGAGAACCAGCAGGGGGGGGGCAGAGACCCAGCAGATAGAGGCTCAAGAAGAGGCTGAGACAGCAGAGCCAAACTGCAAGAAAAAGAAAACTCCAGGCATCTGGAAAAGAATTAAGATGGGGTAAAGAATGTTTCCAAATGTATTGATGTTTTACACTGTTAATATATATTTTGCCACTTTAAAAAGTGACATTATCCAAATGTGAGTGTTTAGTGTACATGCAACACACATGTATGTAGATACTTACCTGTCTATGTGATTTCTTACAGCATTCCTAACCTGCTGTCTGCTGAGAGCTGGAACTCAACAAAGCCACAGTGCCACTGGGGTTACGCTGGTAATACATACAAGTGTCGCCCAATAATTCCTCCTCCTCTTCAATACATCAGGCCTTTTTAAGCTCCTCAAGCCAGCAAGTATCCTCTTAATCAAGGCAACAAACCGTCTAAGGTCATCAACTCTCCTCCCCAGACCACAGATTCTCATCTTTATCCGTTGAATTCATCTCTCCTCACCACCTTACCTGTCCTAGAAAATATCCCCAAATGGACATGGTTTAAACAGAAGTCTTCCCATCTGTCCAGTGGCTCCACAGACCAGAGTTTCTCATCTTTATTCAAGTTGAACGCAACTCTGATCATTTCCACCACCTCACCTGTCCTAGAAAATATCCCCAAATGGACATGGTTTAAACAGATGTCCTCCCCTCAGTCCAGTGGCTCCACAGACCAGAGTTTCTCATCTTTATTCAAGATGATCGCAACTCTGATCATTTCCACCAACCCACCTGTCCTAGAAAATATCCCCAAATGGACATGGTTTAAACAGATGTCCTCCCCTCAGTCCAGTGGCTCCACAGACCAGAGTTTCTCATCTTTATTCAAGATGATCGCAACTCTGATCATTTCCACCAACCCACCTGTCCTAGAAAATATCCCCAAATGGACATGGTTTGACATGGACCCCTCCTGTCCTAGACCTAGAAGATAACTCCCAATAAATGATGACACAAGTTGAGAGGCACAGGGACAGCGATGGAGCAGCACCCCTCGGACGAAGAGCCATTTCAGGATTAAGTGTCTTGCTCAAGGGAACAATGACAGTAGATGGTCCCTGAGAACAGAGCCTAGCAACCCCACGGTTGCTAGTTCAGTTCCCACTGCTGGTCTTAGGAGGTGCTGAGGAGGAGGTCTGGGAGGGGGTCTGCAGGTAGCCTGAACCGGACCGGTAGCAACTAAGTTGCTGGCTCAATCCCCGGGCAGAGCTGCTCAAGTCAGGCCAGTGATGTTTGATGATGTCATTTTTGTTTGCAAAGTTTTAAGCTTTAATAAAATAATGAATTAAAAAAGCAATATTGTTGTTACGGTGTAGATTGTTTTGTTATGTATTAGAATTGAAACATCCAATAGTCATGGTAGATGTTAGACTTTCAATGAGACACCTAACATTTCATCAGTTTGCTACAATGTGTGACATGTTATATTAGAGAGTCATCTATATACACATCTATTTTAGACCATAGGAGAAATATCAGATTGAAATAGCTTCAACTGAGTGCCTTTTGGGGACTTTAACGTTTATTTCACCTCATTTTAACATTCTGCCATAAAGAGCACATGTTCAACTTAATAAAAAACATGTTTTCCCCATCTGGAGTAAAAAATACATACTATAGTAATTGCCTATTAAGTGCCAAATAAAGTAACAGGGTTGACTGTAACAGGGTTGACTATTTCATTTTGAATCGACCAGAAATCCCTGTGTGACAGGGGGAATGGAATGCAAGCTTGCCAAACAAATGCAAATAGTTGAAATCATTCTAGACCTTCTATCTATGGGTAACAGGGTTGTAATGTTATTCTTGACCCACCCAGTGGTGATTTTAGCATGTCAATGTTGGTGGGGCAAACTCCGGCATTTTTTTTTCTTCCAGATGCATGCCAGCAAAGCCACAACACAACACTGAACAATACATTGATTGCACTATAACGGTGACAAACGGTGCCCACAAACTGATAGAGCCTACATAAAGCTGTCCCAACTGCAGAACTGCAGGGTTTTTGTTTGTCCACCCGCCTCTTGAGGTTTGAAAAATGTATGCACTCACTAACTGTAAGTCGCTCTGGATAAGAGCGTCTGCTAAAAAATGTAAAATGTTAAATGTAAAATGATTGACCACAAGTTCTCAATGGGATTAAGGTCTGGGGAGTTTCCTGGCCATGGACCCAAAATGTGGATGTTTTGTTCCCCGAGCCACTTAGTTATCACTTTTGCCTTATGGCAAGGTGCTCCATCATGCTGGAAAAGGCATTGTTTGTCACCAAACTGTTCTTGGATGGTTGGGAGAAGTTGCTCTCGGAGGATGTGTCGGTACCATTCTTTATTCATGGATGTGTTCTTAGGCAAAATTGTGAGTGAGCCCACTCCCTTGGCTGAGAAGCAACCCCACACATGAATGGTCTCAGGATGCTTTACTGTTGGCATGACACAGGACTGATGGTAGTGCTCACCTTGTCTTCTCCGGACAAGCTTTTTTCCGGATTCCCCAAACAATCGGAAAGGGGATTCATCAGAGAAAATGTCTATACCCAAGTCCTCAGTAGTCCAATCCCTGTACCTTTTGCAGAATATCAGTCTGTTCCTGATGTTTTTCCTGGAGAGAAGTGGCTTCCTCTCTGCCCTTTTTGACACCAGGCCATCCTCCAAAAGTCTTTGCCTCACTGTGCGTGCAGATGCACTCACCTCTGCCTGCTGCCATTCCTGAGCAAGCTCTGCACTGGTGGTGCCCCGATCCCGCAGCTGAATCAACTTTAGGAGACGGTCCTGGAGCTTGTTGGACTTTCTTGGGCTCCCTGAAGCCTTCTTCACAACAATTGACCCTATCTCCTTTAATTTCTTGATGATCCGATAAATGGTTGATTTAGGTGCAATCTTACTAGCAGCAATATCCTTGCCTGTGAAGCCCTTTTTGTGCAAAGCTATGATGACGGCACGTATTTCCTTGCAGGTAACCATGGTTAACAGAGGAAGAACAATGATTTCAAGCACCACCATCCTTTTAAAGCTTCCAGTCTGTTATTATAACTCAATCAGCATGACAGAGTGATCTCCAGCCTTGTCTTTATCAAGACAAATTTTGTCAGCTCCGACGGGGAAAATACGCTTTGAACGTCATCCAACTCAGAATTCCAAGTCGGGAACTCAGGCCTCTTTCTAGAGCTCCGACCTGAAGATCACTGACAGGCTGATTCAACCTTGTTTTTTCTGAGTTCCCAGTTGTCTTGAAAGCACCCTAAATCCAGAGAATGCCAGACTTTGATGACAAAGTTTGATGACAAAATTTGCCCACAAGGACCGCCGCGCCAAATTCCTCTTCAAATGAACACAGCATGATGTTGACATGATCAGTCCAATCAAAGCTACGGTAGTCTCCTGAGTGGCGCAGTGGTCTAAGGCACTGCATCGCAGTGCTAACTGTGTCACTAGAGATCCTGGTTCGAATCCAGGCTCTGTCGCAGCCGGCCGCGACCGGGAGACTCATGGGCGGCGCACAATTGGTCCAGGGTAGGGGAGGGAATGGCCGGCAGGGATGTAGCTCAGTTGATAGAGCATGGCGTTTGCAACGCCAGGGTTGTGGGTTCGATTCCCACAGGGGGCCAGTATAAAAAAATATGTATTCACTAACTGTAAGTCGCTCTGGATAAGAGCGTCTGCTAAATGACGTAAATGTATATAACATTATTTGACGTCATTTTATCTGTGGCCAATGACCATGAGCTTTCTTGTATGGGCACTTCTAATGTAACTTTATAGCAGCACCCAAGGGTCTTGAATTTCCAAGCTCTCCCAATAGATTTTGCGGTGACGTAGTGTCCCCATTAGTAACAGAACACTGAGCCAATCACGGTGCAACTAGAAAACATTTCCAACCCCTACGCTCCATATTTTCCGCTGGCTGCCCCACCGCCACAGAAAGCTCTGAGCTAGGCTGAAATACCTGAATTTTAGAGCTGCCTTACTCAAGAAAGATACCAAGTTTACATGCTGCGTTATTAAGTCAAGGATATATTTTTTTACATTGTTTGCTAAACTGATATGTGAAAAGAATTAATGCCAGAATTACATGCAAAACAGGCAAACTTTTTTTTTTACAGGTGAGGCTCAAAACAGGGGGGGCTCCGCTCCTCCTGCCCTGAAAGACGGGTCGCCACTGCTTAAAGCAACAAAAATAAAAGTAGGGTGGTTGGTCAGGCGTATAACGAACATCTAGGAAGCCAAAGGTTGCATGTTCAAATGTCACCAAGGACAACTTTAGCTAATTAGCAACTTTGCAACTACTTACTACTTTTAGCTACTTTGCTACTAATTAGCATGTTAGCTAACCCTTTAACCTAACTCCTAACCCTAACCTTAACCCCTAACCCCTGCCTAGCTAACTTTAACCACCTAGCTAATGTTATCGTTAGCCTCCATCCACATAGCTAACATTAGCCACAACAAATTGGAATTAGTAACATATCATACGTTTAGCAAATTCGTAACATATTGTACACATTTTAATTTATAACATATCATACTAAATAGATGATGGACATCCACAAATTAATCCATACCATATGAAATGTAACATATTCAACCAATATGAATTGGTTAAATATGGATTGTGTCAGATTTACATTTACTATGTTACGCCTACCCCTGAGTCCAGGTTGCAGTGACCACTCCGCTAATCATCCTAAAATCTCATAATAAATTAAGTGGTGTTTTTGGTCTAAACTCATTAAGCAGGATTAAGTGCCGCCACAAGGGCAGCATTTTCTGAGCTATAATGACCAAGACGCACCTCCAACAACACTTAAAACCTGAAATATTTCTGCCCAAAGAATTATGACAATTTCTATCAAAGTGGCATTTTCGAAAAAGAAAATACTTCTGCTGTGTAAACACATTGATTCTCATTGCAAAATAGGCTCAGGATAACTCCTAATGTAGTTGAGTAGTTGATATTCGGAGCTTAAATAGCCAAATTGATTAGTCACAGGAATCAGGACTAATAA